GTCCGTCGTAGACATAATACCATTAAACAACTTCTCACAACGGGTGTTATCACTGTTGACTACGTGAAGTCAAAGGATAACATAGCGGATCCGCTAACCAAGGCATTGGATAGAGAATTGTTGGAGAAGTTGTCACGAGGAATGGGATTAAAGCCCGTGAATTGAAAAGTTCTATAGTGGATACCCAACCTAGTTGGTCCTAGGTTCAAATGGGACAACTAAATTATAGAGCGAAGGATGGTCACTGTGGGGGTCCCGGACTCCTACCCACTCCTCGTTGAAACAGTGACTCCCGCACGAGGTTAGCAAAAACGTTTGCTTTAATGATTCTAAAATGTTGATCTACTCGATAACATTGGAAGAGTATGCGGGATACTCGTGAAAGAATCACCTATGTGAGAGAGAAGAGGGCCGCTTCAAAGGAGAACTGTAATGGCTCAGTTCTTTAGAAACTCTTGCAGAACCAGGACGGTGACCCATGGCCAAAACGGGCACACCCATGAGAACGGAACAAAGTTGGAAGGTTCTTGTGTAAAGATAAGTCAATGTTTACACGACGGCAGTATAGTTCAAAGACATCGAGTCTACTAGACAGCCAGTAAATAAACGTGTCTTTACGGCGGAAGGTTCAAAGGATTAAACCTACCTCTCCGTATACAAGGATCATCCGGTGAACACAACGTGTCCTCCTATCTTCGTGTCTTTTTAAGTCTCGAAAATCAATTTTCATTCATGTGGGGGATTGTTGGAAAAATGTGTGAAAAATTGCATTAAATGGCTATTTTGGGGCAATTTTTTGAGTGGGGCCCACTTCCGATTTGGGTCGGGTCAAAGTGGTTTCGGATTGTCCTTGTTAAGGGCTACAATTCGATATATGGTACGCTCAAAACGGATAACGGGTGAATGAGAAATCGCTTTTCGAAGTTTACCCGTTAGAATGGAAAAACTGGGAAAAAGGATGGGTTTCTAGTGTTAATTTCCCACACCGGAAAACCCAAGGGATTTGCAACCCTTTATAAAGGGACTCTCCCCTTAAGGAGTTAAGATTCCTAAGGGTAAAGGCTCTCTCCACGCGCGCAGGGGGGGGGGGGGTGCAAATCAAATCCCGAAATCGGAGAAGAAAAACCGCGACTTGCGTGCGCGGGCGACCTGCGGACACGAATGTCGTCCAAAAATCTATCTCTCAAGAGATACGATTAATTTTTGTTTTCTTCCCGAAACGTTTAATTTTTTCCCAGCAGAAGTGCTCGGATCAGAACACCTCGATGGTCTTCTGATGGCAGAACCCCTCTCGTTGGTATTCTGATGGCCACCCATCAGAGTTGGGGGTACTCTGATGGCCGCCCATCAGAGTTGGGGGTACTCTGATGGCCGCCCATCAGAGTTGGGGGTACTCTGATGGCCGCGGATCAGAGTTGGCCTCCGATCAGAACCCCTCCCGGGGAGTTCTGATGGAGGTCTTCTCTCGCACTTCTGAAACGTTACAACAATTAATGCCCAACGTTCTTATCTTTTAATGCAGCGTTAAATGGACAGTTCATGGACGATTCAATGCCCAACGGACTGGTCATTGATGTCCAACGTTCAGGTCCATTAATTCACTATTTTCATACAACAAATCCTCCTATATAATGGCTGGCAGGTGGTTTTGCAACAACACAAGTTCTTACACGTTCTTACACGATTATACACGTTTTAGCTCTAAAAACACACTGCTAGCATTCTGAAAAATTCCTGAGTGTTCAGACTTGTTCTCGTTCGCTGGAACTTTTGTTTGAGTGCTCAAACACTAGTTCGTTGTCATCGTATCCTGGGAAACTATTGTTGCAACGCTCCTAGCACCGTGGGAGGCAACAAATACGTTTTAAGGACATCGTGCGTAGCACGAGCTTTGACAAATTCTGCTCCATCTCTTTTCTTGTTTTTCTTTCGTCATTTTATTTAATTAATTTATTTTAATTAATTTTCTTTATTTTCCGAAACACACCCAACAAAAGGTACGTTTCCCGTTTCGAAACTCTCGGAAACTCTTTGGAAACTCTCCAAATAAATAAGCCTTTTTGAGCCAAAGTTGACGTTTCTCAGCTCGTTTCCCGTTTCCTTATGATTTTCGCATTTCCGTGCAACACAGTTAACACATTATGGACCGGTCGAACAAATATTAGGCTACACCCTCGGCCTGGCCCCTCAGTAAGTCCAGGGGCGGCCCTAGGGGGGGTGCAGCAGGGGCGGGCGCCCTAGGCCCAAAAAAAGTGTAAAAAATTTAGGCCCAATCTTAAGACTTTGTATTAAGAGTGAGTAGGCTGAGTTTTTTTGCCTATATCCACTAACTTTGTGCGGCATAGGGAAAAGAATTCTGAAGGCATAAACATTTTTTCTAAAAAAAACACGACTCTGTGCTAGGTTGGTGCCTAGCACTAAACCATCATTTAGGCCCTCAGTTCTTCAAAGTTAACACCTCAATATTCCAATTCCTCATTATAAACTTCCACCAGTCAATACTCAATAGACCATAGATAGTTGATACATCAACTTCTTGAGCTTTTTATCCTTCCTAATGCGAACATAGGATTCTAACTTCTGATAACCTGGAGTCGTTTGTATCCTTTATTACTCTCAAGTCCTTGTATATTTTGCATTTATGCTCTACTTACTTATTTCAAGATCACTTATCATAGCTTTTCACCCTTTTTAGTTTTCATTGAATTTACATTTTCGTTGATTGATCACCTAGTTTTTGACTCATTGATCGTGAAATCGCAAATTCACGTTTATACTTCCTCCGTCCCGATTTGAGTTGCAATTTTTGAATTTTAAGATTTATGGATGATAAAATTAAATCATTCTGTGATAGTTTTAAAAATTTTTCAGTAGAAAAATGGATTTTCATTAAATTCATAAATAATAAATTTCAAGGTGTAACAAAAATGTTCTCTAACTATAATTTTACTTGCTTCATACGGCGAATTATAAAAGTCTTTTCTTTATTATACAATTTTTGAAGTATTATTTTTATGCATTAGATTAGACAAAAAATAATGTTTTATATTTTTTATAAAATTAGGCCCATTATAAACTATTTGCCCCTAGGCCTTGAAACTAGGCCGCCCCTGAGTAAGTCGAAGCACCAACACTCACAGCTATCCACTTCACCAATGCAAAGATTAAACACGGATCAAATATTCATTTATTACATATCTCTTTCTTTCTCCATTATTAGCTTTGTGTTCTCTCTAAAGTACCACTAGTAGATTACCCATATAGCTATCAGTTTACTTATGGTTTGATCCTATGTGGTTTGCTCTAGTATGTTCAGATCTAGGACTGAACTAAGTCATACACAACGTGTTTATTTCAAATACATTTCACTCTACACTTGCATGCCTAAATATTGTACAAAGTGGGAGTTACCAAAATCTAATTCCAGATTTTCAGCTAGCTATGACATAAGACATTTTCAATCATCTTGGCTCTCATTGTCCATTTGTGCAATTTTATCTACATATGGAAAAATTGAAATATTATTTTTGAAAATTAGTTTTTGATTGATGTTGTTTTAATTATTTGATATTTGTTGTGCATATATACTTCAGATACTATTTTTTATTGCAACATTTTGTACGGAATCTTGATTAGTATGACTTCTACCTTTTATTTCATATTTTATTTATGTGTAAAAGATTTAAATAAACTGTTAAGGTTTGTTGAACCATGCTAAAAAGTTAATTCGTCAAATTAGTCTACTCACCTCTTTGGCCATAGCCCTTTCCCAGTCCAGCTTGATATGATTTTGAACTAAAGTGCACAAATGTGTGCACATGTGAGGCGTCTAAATTTCCATGTCCTCTACATCGTAATATTTTTAAACATAGTGGGCTGAAACTTTCCTGTTATTCTCATGTAATAAATTAAGTCAATCAAAAGTCTCAAATTACATGCTAACTATGACTTCAAAGATTCTATTTTCTATTATGTCACTCCATTTGATTGAGATAAATAATTGGGCATTTCACCATTTATGATAATTTTGTACACTATTATCATAGACTAATTGTATTCCTTTCCCATACTAGATCTAACCTTTTTAACTTGTTTTCATTATGCTCCGTAGTTCTCTATTTCATTATTTGTACCGCTGAGTACGTGAGTAAACATAAATTATTCATTTCTAAATAATAAGCTATGATCTTAAACCATTTGCCGGCCTCACAAGTCACAAGTAATCTAATCCACTAAATATTTCTCCAAATATGGTTACTACTTCATTGAATTTAAATGAAAGTTCATAACCCTCTCACATAAAATTGAAACTTCTATGACGCAGTCCAGATAAAGATAGATTATTTCTTGAGGTAATTCCAAAATCAACTCATTTTATATATCTGTTGAACATCCACACTCAAGTTCTTGGTCGGTAACCATAAATCTTCCAATCACAAGTTTATTACAGAGCTGATTTATAAGAATACACACAAACACACACACACATTCCCATATTCTACTACACTGGCACTTTTGAGGCATACTCCCCTCCGTCCCATTTTGGATGTCCTACTTTCCTTTTTTGGTTGTCCCAAAATGAATGTCTTATTTCCTTTTTTGGCAAAAAATATATGATTCTTATCATTTCACTTTATTCTACTCAAATCCCAACCACAACTTTTACTTTTCAACCACTTTATTAATAAGCGTGCCAAATTAAAAGTGAACAACCATTATGGGACGGAGTAGTACTAGATTGAGGCATTGAGCCTCAAGTCCTTAACCACATTGTTTCAACATGTGTTTGCCTACTGTCTCAGTTTAACCTCATTATTAAAAATAATTTTTTAATAAACCTAAGCAAAATTTGATTCCCAACTCCAAGAGAATTGCTCCTAACTATATATCAGTTCAGTAATGTATTACCCAGAAACCAAAAATGCCAGTTCAATTTTCAGGTATTCATTTCATTTCAAATTTTGAACTGAACCATACCCAATCCCAATTAAACAGGTTACCAAAAAGTTTTGTTTTCTGTTTGAGTCGAATGCTCGAATAGAAATCAATTTATACGGAAACATATATCATTGGGCACTAACAAAGACTAATCATATGAAGGGGCAAAAGATGCCTGAGGAATCCGGTAAAGACTAGCTGCATTTGCTGGTTTTCCAAACAACGGACAAACAAGACAGGAATTTACACATATGCCGTACACAATTGCCATTTGACTCTGACCAAAAACCACAAGAAAAAGAAAAAACAAACTTAGAAATCATATTTAGTTCTCCCGCTTCTTAATATGAGGCAAAGCATATCAGACAGTTTCTGAGATGATGTCAATGACGATGAATTAAAAAAGTTCCATGACTCGAGCATAAGTCGTTTTCTTGACCCCTTGAAATGGATAACCTGTAAAGGAAGTAAAAGAAAATACTTCAATGAAAAGTGTTGTCAAAAAAATTGTTCTAGATATTCATCCACTCATTTTATTATATATATATTTATTTATTTATTTCCATAGTACAAAGTTACAAACTCAGTTTGTTTATATTTATTTCGATTAATTTATAAACTACTATACATAAAACATAAAAAGATAAATAATATTCCATTTTCCTTTGCAATTTCAATGGTAAAACCGTAAAACCAAACATAAGGAAATAACTTTCAATAGCAATATTTCCCCATTAGCATTTCATTTAACTGTCTCAAACCAATAAACTGTTGCATTTCCCTTGGTAACTCCCTTGCATTTCCCATTAAGAAGAATGATTGGGGTACCTTAACATTTAGAGGCATCCCATGGAACTGACCAGCACCCTCAGGTGGGGTCCAATTGTACAAGGCACATGGTAGAAATAAAACTGATGCACCATTAATTTTATCTAGAAATGGCTGTCTGCTAGTAAATCTTTTGGCATCAAATGAAGGGTTTGACTTCACAACCACCCAAGCTAGGGCTAATTGATCTCCAAGCATTCTGGAAGCTTTCAGATACCGTGTACTATAGACTTCAAGGACTTGCTGTAAGAAAAGTTTAGACCTGCATAAAAAGACTATCCCATGTAAAACTTTGCCACTGTTATTTTGCATGAACTTAATGTATTAAGTACTCTGTGTTAACTAATTTTTGACAATCAACTGGCACTAGATATTTTATGCCACCGTCCCCAACTAATTGGGATCATTATGCCGCTGCTGATGACGATGAAAGGGGCAACTGAAGAATGCATTTCTGAGTTGAGGGTCTGTTTGGAACACAAAAGATGTTTAGAAGAGAAAATAGGGAGGTAAATAAAGAGGATAATTATAGGATAAGGTAAAATATGTGCTCAAACTACAATATTTATTTTAAATATCCATGAAATTTAAATGTGGGTAATTTTTTTAAATTTTTTTAATAAAAAATCCATATTTCATGTTTCTTTGCATTCCAAAGAATGCAAAGAAAAAATGATTCTTTTAATATAAAAAACATATTTCATGTTTCTGCGAGTCTTTTTCATTCCCTAGCATTTTCTGGGATCCAAACATACCCTTAAAATCCCTAAAATGCTTATTCCATTCACTTGAGTCATCGCTATGGTAAAAACAAAAAAAAAAACTACTACAAAGAACAAATGCCGCCTCTTTCAAGAACAAAATTAAACACCTCAAAATTCCATCTGGAGTGCCACGTACTGCAATAAATCCCGAATTTAGAGGTTGCTCTTTGTTGTTACGGAAGGTAAGAGCAAGATCAAAGTCAGGGTAGTCGTGAAAAATCTGTCCTAGATTATCGACAACTGCTAAATCTGAGTCCGTGAAAATATAGTGATCAACTTTCCCCTTTCCCCTAGACTGCTCCTCATATCTTGTTTCAAGGAAGAACTGCAAAAAAGAGCCAATTCAGCAAAGGAAAGTGTGGATCATACGGCTTTTCTGTTGAAATGAATCATAGATGGGAAAACATATACTCCCTCCGTCCCATTAGGAGGTTCCAATTGTGGTTTACGATGCTTGACTGACGATAAAGCAACTTAATCCATGTTCACACTCTAATTATTTTTAGTAAATAAATTTACATATTCAGAAACTACATTAAAAATTTAAAACCGCTACAAAGCCTGATAAAAAAATGTAAGTTTGATAAAATTTTGATATATAAAGCAAAAGATTAAGAATGATTTAAATTGACCATGTGAATAGCGGACGGGAGCCTTTAATGGGACGGAGGGAGTATCATATACTCCCTCCGTCCCTAAATAAACTTCCAACTTTCCTTTTTCGTCCGTCCCAATTAAAACTTCCACTTTCCCTTTTTGGCAAAGAATTTGTGGTTCACAACAATTCTTACACATTTCTCTCTCCTCTGCACAACTCTCCACCACACAATACTCACTATCTTAAACTGTGTGCCAAACCTAATTGGAAGATAAATTAGGGACGGAGGGAGTAATATTTTAAATGCACAACACAGACATCGTCTCCTAGGCTCAATGCTTGTTTAGTATGACATTGGAGGTGATGGGAGGAAAGTGAAGGAGTGGTGTGCGTTTGGTAGGAAGAGTTGAGGCCTGAGGGAGAGTGAAGAAACTAAAAAATCCTTAACTCTTCATAACTCGCTTTCAATTTTAAGAGAGTGTAGGTTTTTTCCCCATGAATTCTATCAACTCTTTTCACCAAAGCTTTTGAACATTATTATTGTTTTATATTCTTAAATACATAATGTATTGTATCAAATATAATTTTTACACATGCTTCCAACATACTAATTTTCTAACAAATTTCATTTTCTTCCTCCCCTCTTTTGGACAAGAAGGGCTAAAAGAAAAGCTCTGAAGAAGCGATCATATGCACACTAAATGTAAGTGGATATCAACACTCAAAAGAAATACGCAGCCTTAAACTGTGCTTCACAGTCCAGATTTTTTACCAATTGGAGTACAACATCGGGACCAAAATATTATACAATCAATTAGAGGTTATTCCTATACGGAGTATTCTTAATTTCTTATATAGAGGTTTTACTATTTTGATTTTGGGAACAAAAAAAGGTGCTTTACTATATTGTTTGACTCATCTACAAGAATGGCCAATATGGAACGTTGGAACATTAATGCTTTTCCTTCAACGATTAAGAAATCACTCAACAAAGAGTCAAAAATTAGATCTCTTTACCATAGAGATTTCAAACATTTCTGGTAATGAAACAAGAAGGAAAGTAGATGTCCAAAACAAGAACAAAAAAACATTTGAAAAAGAAAAGGAGATGGTGATGGTGAATGTATGGGCAAAGCTAGGTGAAGGGAGGTAATGTGACAAATTTATTACCATAGCAGTGTATATTAAACTTGAATATCAATCTGCTTCCCAGTCTTCATATTATTTTTTCTTTTCTTTTTTGTATAAGCTTCGACAATAAGTTCACTATCCTTGCATAAACAAAGGTCACACTGCAATTGATTAATGTCAACTGGCAAATTTTCTAAAGACAAAATGAAATTCCTAGCGCAAAAATATCCTTAAAGAAATAAAAAGTAAAAACATCAAGTTCACTATATTAGAAAGTGCCCTTACAATGTAGGACCTGATTCTTTGAAGCATCAACTTGTCTCGTGAATATTCACCTTGAATGGGATGAATGAAAACCCGGTTTCTGTTTACTGGAAGTTCAGATGATGGATCAGTAAGAATGACTATGCTACTTTGAGGCATTGACACCTGCAAATATCTTACTAAGGTAAAAATATGCAATAAAAAATATAGAGCTCACAAATAAATAAATGCAAAAGATTATATTTACCAATTTGTGCACGACATATATTATCAAACGATTTGAAGCATGGGGCACAAACCAAACCTTGGGATAAACCATGAAGGACATCGGGTGCTATTATGAGCGTGCCTACGGCCTAGGCTATTCTTATATGGGTTAGGGATATTATTCTTTATTAATATTAATTTCAGATTATTAATTAGTAATCTTAAAGCTAATTTTTTTCTTCTTATTATTATTAATTGTAATTTCATTAGTCAGCTCTTATTGGTATTTATGGTTATGTTTCCTTTTAAGATAGGGACTTGTGTAATAGCTACATGAAGGTCCTATTATTCAGTAAACTTTTTGGAGTAATTCTTGTGTGACATGACTCGACCGTTACCACCCCCATAACAACTTGGAATCACAGAACCAGGGCCGTCACAGTCCAGCACCCATCATCATCTTCAATACATTTTCTGTTCTTTTCCTGTAAATTTAGAATTTTTTGAAGAAAGGTTACTATGTGTGCCGCATCAGAAAAAATAAAAAATGTTCTACTTCACCAGCTCACTGCCAAATTCACTGAATAACAACTGCTCTCAATCCAAGTATCCAACACAAACTTACACAGAACAACAGCTGCTTTCAATCCAAGTCTCCAAGACGAACTTTCATCAATCCCTTCTTACTTGGTGTAGGCAAATGCATCACGCTCAACAGAAGCATTCGATAGCCACTTTTGAGTATAGTCTTTGGCTGGTCCGAAGAAGTGGCAGCAGCATGCAGTTTTTTGGTCATTTTTGTTTGGGTTCTTTCCTTTATTCAATTGTAGGTTGACTTTTTATATATTTATGTTTAATTTTTTACAGCCCTTTCGGTTAGATTACAAAAAGAATAAAAACACAAACAAAACCGCTTGTCAATCTTTTCCGCAACTCTGTCACTCAATTAAAGAAGTTTCATTGATAATTGTGATTTAAACAGTGCTTTCACTGAAAAATCAGTTTATTATGTTGAAAATATTAAGTATATAATAATGGAATTTCAAAATAGGAGTACTATATTTTTATTCTCTTAATAGGAGTAATTATTGTCATGCTTGGAAAATACTACCACATATGGCAGTATGCTGCCATGTTTAAAGGTGGCAGGTACGTACTCCTATTTAAAGAAAAAAAACATAGTACTCATATTTTGGAATTCCCTACGTTTTTACTCCTATTTCAATTGTTTTCCCTCTATGTTACTATTCCCAGCACTGCTTCCATGAGTTCCATCAGTTCCTCATAAATTGCCAATTCCACTGTATGCTTTGTGGCCGCCTGCAACACCTCTTCCACCACTTTAAACTCACTTGTTACTATCAAATTCATAGAAAATGTTGCAGAGAGCTTCTACCAGCTGCATCATTGTTAAAGGAAAACCAAGTGCTACAGTGCTACGATTAAATATGACGCCAAACCGGCTTATGTCATTACACCTTTACTAACACAGCCCATGATTGTTGCTGCCTTCAACCCCATGCCACCATCTTCAACAACTATATTGCGGCCACTATCAAAGGTATTGAGCTGTAGGGCCAGTGGGGGTTATTGTCTACTCACTGTGATGAACGATTTTGGCAATGTCTACATTCACATTCATATTATAATAATGTGTAGTGTATTCATTGTTCCGATTATTATTGTTGATTCCTTATTTAATTTTAGTGACTTAGTCACCTTCTATTAGCTTTTAGTTTCATGGTGTCATTTATGATTACAACTCTTGAAATAGCTATATAAGTGTCCTAGGTGATCTAATAAGCTACTTTGTCGGACAGAGTTTGTCTAGATATAATTTTTGCGTAACTTGCCTAGGTCGGACACCAATTAATTTAGTAATAAGGCCAGCTTCATTGTGTTCTGACGCCCAACCACTCTTCCCATTCTCTAGTCCACGATCTTGGACTAGATCCCTACCATGCCCATAATTTGTTCGAAGTAAAAAAATTGCCAACTAATTATCACATATGCAACTATGTTTTCATGTCACTATTTACCTGAATGAAGTTAATAAAAACATTTAAGATGGCCAGTGACCTTTCCAACTTAGTGTAAGAAACATTCCCAACAGTAACCCATTTGTCATTACTCTGACTGTCAAGAGGATTGTCATAAGTCGCAAATACAGTAATCAAGGAAACGTCGTCCCTAAAATTTGAATTTCCTGAATTGAAGTGTGTTATGTTGAGAGCCTTGTTACCTGTAATTTAGTCACCCATTACTATAAAACAAACGTAAGCAGTTCTCACATCATAATATGCAATAATCAAATATCATAAACGGTTGCAAATAATGACTAGTGAAGATATAAAAATGGTCAATCATCTTAAACAGCATAAAAGGACAATTGTTCACCATCTGATGTGACTATAAATGGTCTGGAGTAAGATGGCATGGCTTTTTTGAATAAAAGAGCTTTTTTCAATTCAAAACTTAGCCAAACTCAAAAGCATTTATGAGTAACAAAATGACTGTTGAGTGTTGACATGTTTTCTAAGTATACTTTAGGGTAAAGGAAACATTATGTTATCTCTACTCGAAAAAGCTAACATTTTAGGAATTAGATTTGTTTCCTATCGGGGAAAATAGGCTATGCGGATACCACACATGAACCTTCCTATCCGAAAAATCGAAGACCCAGCGCAGGATGGATGGGTCATAAATAAAGTATGGAGTCGGGCATTCAAAAGTGGAGAAGATATAGACCATCCCACTTGAGAACAGATGGCTCGCGTGCGAATTGAAAAAAAATGCACTGCATATCTTCCTTGACGGGAAATAAATTTGCTTCCAAATCTTTGAACTTTTGAGGGCAAAGGTAAAATTGTTTAGTGTTTTCACTCCATTTGGTTGCCATCGCCATAACTGGCTTGTTCTGCTTATAAGCATAAATCATCAGAATAAGTAGCTTCTTCTTACTTGGCTGATATTAATATTTCTAAATGATTTTTCTTTCACAAAATTAACCGATTCAGCCATATCAGCCACATACCCTTGCGAAACAAGCATTAAGATTGTAAAATACTTTTCCAATTGTATACTGTTCTGATCAAATCACTGTCATATAAGCTCCTATTAAAAGAACTACTCACAAAAGTTCTTAATTAATCCGAGCTATGAGAAGTCTCAACCAAACTTCTGTTGACATGGCAAATCAAATGGAACAAACTTATTGAAATCTTTGGTCTATCCGAACAAGCAATGGAGAACAAACTTAGTGAAAACGTTGGTCCATCCAAACAACAAACTTAGTGAAACCTTTGGTCCATCCGAGCAGACAATTTCAGAATATGCGCAATATATATGGATACAAGTACCTAAAAAGACAAATGACATCATAAACAATGACGAAAAAGACAGAAGTAATAACATACCTTGGCAATGCAGGCGGTCGTGAAAACCTTGACCTGCAGCTGGTCCAAGAATTAGATGATCAAATTTCTTGTTCTTCAACTTATTCGGCCCCTGAACACTATACATTTCTTCCTCAGACTTCGGTTGATGTTTCTGCAATCGCCAAACTGAAAGAAAAAAAGGAAGCCAACTCTACTACATAAGGTTATTTACTACGTAGTATTTGATATAAGAATAAGCAAAAAAACATCACCTGAAACAAGATGATGCAGTAAGAACACAAGAGGCAGGCATAAAAGGAATCGCCGCCAACTGCAGCAAACTTTCTTCTTTGACATTCGTCGTTAGTTCGTGCGTTTCGCAATATCCCTCTCCGGCAAAGAAATCGGGCAATTTGAGGGACGCTGGCTGGTTAGGAGATTGAAGCCGGCATACGACGCTGCTACAGTGACCCGTTTTCGGATCTGACCAATTTTTGTGCCATTTCGGATTCTTGATTTCTTGTGAGACATAAAGGAACCGGAATCGGAATGGGAACGGTATAAACTCAATTAATGTGCATAGCTGATGGATAGGCTACCCGGTTATCTTATCCGAGGGATTATTGCGGGAATAACTAGAGAGAAGTCAGAGCAAATAGGAGGAGAGAGAGAGTCAATTGTATTAAATGAACTCAGCGTGTGTTGGGATCTGGTGCCCTTTACAATGGGGAAATGGGGTGGTATTTATAGTAGCAATAAATGCGACGAGAGTGCACGTGGCGATAATCCGACGGCTGCGGGGTCACCTTAATCGGGTGCACTGGCAATCGCATGTGCTCCACATTGAATGCGGTGGATGGATGTGACGTCGCATAAAATGCGATAGTTGCTTGTCTCCAAAGGGAATCTTCGATGATTGGGTTGTTGGCCGAAGACTCCCCCTTCGGCCGAGAGTTTTGTACAGCTGAAGGCATGGTAGTGCCGTAGGCTTTCCTGACGATGGCTCTGTGTAGCCGAAGGCACCATGTTTGTGCCGAAGGCTCTTGATAGCCGAGGGCTACTGTTTTACGTCGTTTTCTCCCAGTAGCTTCGTATGCTCGAATCTGGCTGACCTGTGTATTTTGGAGCCTTCGGCCAAGGAGGTCGAAGGCACCCCATCGTGTATTTTGGATTTCTTTGAGACTTGGGTCGCTGTATTTGGGCCTCGAATGTTCCTTGGTCTCAATGGGCCTGTGTACGAGAAGTAGGAGTCTATGGGGCAGGGGTTCCTAACCCATATACTCCATCAATAGCTATCCATAAACCATGTGAACCTTGCATTGAGAGAATTAATTAAATGTTTTAATAAGAGCGATAATCAAATTTTTAGTAATCAATCACAGATTGACACGTCATTGATTTATAACTCAGTTTTTAAAACAATAGATATCGATGTTAGTATTGTTATTATCATTACTATTATTTATTTAGTTAATTTTTATTTAAAATTTTTAAAACCCGTTTCCGAACCAAAATTGTCCGGTTTTGAACCGGAACTGCCGATCCAGTTCCTCAAAACCGGAAGAACAGAACCACTACCTTAGAACATTCGGTTCCAAACCGTAAGCTACCTCGGTTTCAGTTCCGAATTCAAGAGACAGGTCTCTGTTGTGTTTAAAAAAAATGAATATATATGTTAGACAAACCAAACCTGTTAGTTATTCGGCCGAAATTTGCTAGTCTGGTTGGTCGGGAATTGAATACGGTTCAAATAAAAAAGTGTGTAAGATTGTGTGTATCAAAAAATGTGTACAAATATTTTTTTCCGAGCATTGTTAATTTGGGAAAAACATGAAACTTTCATCTATCATACTCCTTGCTTATCACACAAAAAAACTAATAAATTTATACTAACTAGATTTTCATATATTGAGATTTTCTATGCAGGTATTGTGCTGAAACATTTGTATAAGTTATTATTATCCACTCAAAAATTTCTATATTGAGTATTGATATATTGTTATAGTGAGATTATTTTTAATTAGATTAGATTCTCTCCTTCAATAAATCAAGTTACCAAATAAGAATAACTTTTTCCTACAATCCACACCGACAATATATTCACCCAATAAATTTTTAAACTTTTTTAAGCTGAGAGATGTAAAAAATAATTTAACTATGGGATTTTAAATTTAGCACAGAATTATACTTTAGAAAAAATTGAGCACTACAAAAAAAAAAGTACAATAAAAAGTTACAACACTACAAAAATATGGAGATTTTTCATGGACCCAACATTTTTTCCCTAACAGATTACTTACGGGAGATTTTATGGAGCCCTATATGACTCAGCACTACGGAGTCACATAGCACATGTGACATCATCAAAATCATTTATTTATGAAGTAGGATCCTCCATTATAATTTCACTATAGAAATGAATGATTTTTATGAGGCCACATTGGTTATAGAACTCTATAATTTTTTTGGACCGCTTATGCTTTCATGTGTAGGCTTTATTCGTTCATCTCTCTTTCCTGAAGAGGGGAACTAGGGTTCGGACCAGGGGATAAAAGAAATAAACTTTAAAGGATGAAATGGAAAATTCACTTTTCTGACCCTAAAAGAGAAGGATATGAATCAAACCTAGTTTTGGACTATCAGGACTTGACATTCTTAATTACGGTAATTTCTTTATTTAATTCTCGTAAATTCAAATTTTGAGACCTAATTATAATAAATTTACCCTTATCAAATATGTGCTCCAAAGTGGTTGTGGCTAAAACTAACTTCACTTTGGTTACAGGATTGGAATCAAGGAGTGTGAACTGGCTTGTAAATGCTATGGAGAGAAGCAAGTGAACAGAAAGGCTGAAGCAAAGTGCTGAGTCCGGATCTATGCCCAAGGCCATAATTGTAATACGGAGTAGTTAGTATTAGCATTTCATATTCTGGATGATCCTTGTGTAAGTAATCCATTGCTTACTTTATTGGTAGCTTGTAAAATTTAAACCAATATACACTTAAAAGACAGTAAAGCAATGTTTTTTGGTCACTACTGGGTGAGATTCCATTTTGCTGTCATCAAACTCCGGTTTGCATAGCAGCAAACGAATAAGTTTCTCAAAAATCTGTTTTATAAGCTTCTGGCTTGAACCAGGGCGAGAAGTCAATTCCTTTGCTTTTCAATTTTTCCGTTTCAGGACCAATTTTGTCAATAAGCTGCAAAAGAAGATAAATGCAGAAAGATTTAGCTGTTGTGTGAGGTGAGATCCTAATGTGAAAGAAATAAGATATATTTTCCCATTATCATGAAACAGATTTTGAATTGTGAGAAGCAAAGCCAAAACAGTGAGGGAGAAAGCTGACCTTATCATGAAGGGTACCATTTGAAGCCAAGACAGACCTATCGAATACACGAAAAATTTCACCATCCATGCAGGAAACTAAACCTCCAGCCTCTTCTACTATCTGCAGGCATTCAGGCAACAAAAGCACCATATATGAATATCAGATTGAAAGCACCATCATTCTTTGTAAAAAACGGAACAAGATGCATATTTGCCTTTTAAGTGATAGCTTCCAGCCTTCTATAATTCCATTTTCGATTTTTAGTTTCTTGAATACATGACATCCCGAATACACACACATACCAGAACTCCGGCAGCAACATCCCATGGTTTTAGACGATATTCCCAATAGGCTTCAACTATTCCGAGAGCCACATGGCACAAGTCTACTGCTGCAGCACCTAGCCTTCTCACACCCTTTACAAGATTGTCATTAAAATGTGTAGATAATTAATTAGAAGAATATCAGATTACTAAAACGTATAGGAATGACAATGTTTAACTTTCCTAGTATAAAAAGTTGTTACCCTGCTGGTGCCAGTAAATCCCTTAAATAATTCCATATTGGCAGCCCAGGAATCATCATGATCATAACCAAATCCCGTCACCAGGAGTGATTGCTCCACCTACCCATTTCATAGAATGGAGAAAAAACGAATCAAGAAATAAAATATATCTCCAAAATCCTAACTTGATTGAGATCAAGCCATTTTAAAAGTTAAGTTAGCGATGGCTCACTTTATCAGTGTTGCTGACATTTATCTTCTGACCATTAGCAAATGCACCACTGCCTATAATATATGGAGATCTGATATGCACTTCCACACATATGTATAATTGAAACAATCATATATAGAAATTGCAACAGTCTTACCAACAGCTGCAGTGTATATGCGATTGTTCCAGCACATAGGGCCACCCACAAACTCTACCTAATAAGCAACATAGGGATTGAGATGTCATTTTCTATGACAGAGAGATGCTATATACCAATAACTAAGGGCCTGTTCGGTATTGTTTCTGTTTTTCTTTTCTTAAAAAACAGAAACGCATTTGGTAAAAAGTTGTTTCTGTTCCAAAATCATAATCTTAAGAAGAGTTTTTAGAAAACTAAAGTAGTATTCAGAAATCCACAAAACATAGTTTCCGTAAATTTGTTATCAATTTTTCTCACATACCCAGCCTCGTACTATTAAACTCCTACATAGGACCGCAGTCGGACCACTGCCGGCCGCCACCAGACAACCGTTGGCCGCCAATGAACCACTGCCAAGCTACCGCCAGATCACCAGCGGCCACTGTCAAACTGCTAACCGGGCTGCCACCAGACCACCTCTGTCTGCCACCGGACAACCGAACCACCACCAGATCGGTGGCGACCACCCTCAGACCACTGTCGGCCGCCATCAGACAACCGCTGGCCGCCACTAGACCACCATCAGGCCTACGTCCGTTGGGCCACCGCCAGATCGGTGGTGGACACCGATAGACCGCCGATCACCGTAGGGCCGCCACTGGACCGCTGCTGCGGATTGCCACCGAGCCACCACTGCACCGTCGGTTGCCACCAGATTCCCACCGGACACCACCATATCACCGCCGCCGATCGTCGCTGGGCACCCACAGAATGCCACCAGACTGCCGCTGGCGATGGCCGGGAAATTTCCGACTCTTGCTGCCGCTGATCTGTTACCACACCGCCGTCAAAATGATATTTAGAGTAATTTCTCTTGGAAAATGATATTTCCTTACATATGAATGTAATTACTTGCTTTTAGAAATGACAAAATCCGAAATGAATCAACACCAAAATAAAAACGGTTTCAAAAAACTGAGAATAAAAAACTGAAAACAGAATTTTGTTATCTAGAAAACAAAAACAGAAAACTCAAAACGATACCGAATGAGGCCTAATATAATAAGTTCTTGCTTACATACATACCAAGCAATCACATATAAACATCACTAGATGGAAAGTGTTATCCCAAACCGAAAAGTGTTAGTTTTAGGGTCACCTTTAAAATGGTCCAGTGATGAAACTTTGGGTTGTCCATAGTGGACAATTATTAGCGATGTTTTGTCTACCTTATTATTTTAAACTTATTCTAATCCTCATCAAACCAAATCAGAAACATTTCGAGCAGATAGATAATGGCTCCGTCTTTAATTTTCTGGAAGATTTTAGTTATTTAATACACTTTTATTATTTAGTAAATACGAA